GTATATATTATGAAGGTCAACACACTGTATTTCAGGTAAATATTTATCATTTCGCTTTCCAGCATTTACTGGAAACGCTTCATTCTAGAAAATGTTATCGCAAAGCGGTTGGAAATAATAAATGTAACAGCAGAATACGTTCTAGCACAGTCACTCTACTAGGAGATTGACTGTGGTCCTAGTAATAAACTAAGTGACTTCTAAAGACTGAATGGTGTTTGCGAACTTCGTATTAGTTATAAACCGACGTTAGCTTCACGTTTATGTCACACCATGGAAACAGCCAAAAACATGTTGCTTGTGTTTGAGCGGAGCGGATCGCCAACCAGCCTACCGGCTTGTCTAATTTGTCAGTTATCCTTCATAATGTCATAGTTATCATGCGAGCTGGTAAATATTGTAACAGCGTTGGGAAATAGCATTATTATATTGCGTGAGCGAAAGACGCTGGTAAGACTGTGTCACAACGCGTTCTATTTACTTCCAACGGGCGTGGTCGGCGCCTCTGATTGCGTTTATTTTGTATTTTTATTTTCGAAATGTATCACTGCCTGCGTTTTTTTGTTACGTCTCGCAACTGAACGTCCAAGCTGACCTTGTTTTGGCTGTAAACGAAACCAAGATGAAATTAGGCATACTACTGGGTTTTACATTGATTATATCCGCAAATGTGTATGAAAATAATATATTATGAAGAATTCGCAATGAAATTCGTACGGGAATTTTGTTTTCCAGGGTCTTCGTTTTCCATGGTCTTCGTTTTCCTGGGTCTTCGTTTTCCAGGGTCTTGGGTCTTCGTTTTCCAGGGTCTTCGTTTTCCATACACCCGTGTAGTGTCTGTATTGTTTGTTACTCGCAAACAGAACCGCTTACTTTGCATAAGTTCACAATGAAAGTAAATGCCCGATATTGGGCGAATTCGTGTATCATTGGCGTCATAGGAACATTCCGGGGTCTTCGTTTTCCAGGGTCTTCGTTTTCCTGGGTCTTCGTTTTCCAGGGTCTTCGTTTTCCAGGGTCTTAGGTCTTCGTTTTCCATACACCCGTGTAGTGTCTGTATTGTTTGTTACTCGCAAACAGAACCGCCCACTTTGCATAATCCAAGCTTTAATGAATGACGTCACCATTCGTTATCAGCACAGACCGTCACAAAACTCCATAGCGTGAAAGAAAACGGCCAAAAAACAAAGTTTTTCACAGATATAAATGTCGGTTCATGATTTTTCTCGAAAACAACTTTCAAAGCATTTCATTTACAATTAGCCCATGTAAATTTTGCTGCTAAAACGAGAGTTAACGTTGATTGAAGTTTGAAATCATAAAAGTGCCGATTTCTCGGTGTTCGGTTTCTGACAATTACCGTTGACCTAATTTTAAATAGCGTTTCAGTGAGTAGCGCTACGATGTCGCCGTTTGGTTTTTCTTACTCTTGAATATGTTGGCTTCATATCCGTATTTACATATTTGCAAAATTCTATTGCGTTTTTTCACAAACCTCGCGCAAACCACCGGTATACTCTAACTTTAACACCAAAAAACGTGCTTGAAATTTGTGATTTTCGGAAAGAAAAAAAAACTTAATGCAAAAAATAGAAATACGGATTTAAACTTCATGACCTTTGCTTCAAAACAGTGTAAAGTTTTTGATCGCATGAATGATTGTATTAATGACAATTAAAATTGTATTCACGTTAAATTATCAGCCCTGCTGATTTTCAGAATCACATGACGCTAAAACAAACACAATGTTCACAAAATATTAATAATAGGAAAATACAAGTCAAGAGCTTTCTGAATTCATTCAAAACCTTCACATGGTCAAATTAAATTTAAATGACACTGGTGCACTTCTGCTAAAGACGTTGCTACTGTAATTACATATAAATTTCCCAGCATGGCTCATGTTAACTCCTTTGGCATGCTATCAATGATGTTTCTTGTGCAGAGTGGACTCCGTGTTTTGGTAACTTAGTTAATGAGATACTACAGCTGATGTCAATCAGGTTGATGATACACACGTTATATTTAAATTTCTGGTTGCTATAGGGACACAACAAATTTAATATACATTCCAATAATTATGAGCTATATTGGATGATTGGTTAGGAAAATAAAATTTTTTGAGCTGCTTGTAGTATGTGTGAACAGTTTACTGAATTCGATTCTGTGATAGTGACTTTATTCCAGACTATACCACTCCACTGAAGTACCCAGTCTTTGGGGTATACATTGCTTAAATCAAACATTTAGTTAATAATTATTTAATTTATATTACTACAGTCTGTACATTAAAAATCCAGCATGATATGTACATACACTAAACAGTAGAATTTACATAAACTTTGGTCTCTTTATTAGTTATTCATTTACACTACAACAATATATTAATAAAAAAAAAACGCAGAACAGAAAAATTCGATATTTTCCTGAGGTCAAATTGATTCGTACATTGTGGGATGACAAGTATTTCATTGAAAAAAAAATATCATGCTGAACACAAAAAAATATCATGCTGAACACAAAAAAATATCATGCTGAACACAAAAAAATATCATGCTGAACACAAAAAAATATCATGCTGAACACAAAAAAATATCATGCTGAACACAAAAAAATATCATGCTGAACACAAAAAAATATCATGCTGAACACAAAAAAATTCCAATAAACAGTGTTCAGTCTATTGTACAGATGTGAAAGGAAAAAAAAAATACGTGGATTAAACAAAAACTTACAATTTCTACCATAATGAAAAGTCGCATGTTACAAATGAAACTGTACAAACAATGATGCCATACATGTATAACTGTCAGCCATTCAGCTAACAAAAGACGGTTAACCATACTTTTTCAACTTTGACATTGAATAAACATACAATCCATTGTGATATCATTTCTAATGGTTTTCTCCTTCATTTCTCTCATTATTTGAAATGATGTAAATTTCCAAATAGCAAAATGTACAAGAAAAAGGTGACTGAGCAGAATACACAAGATGTGCAATACCTGATGTGTAAGGGTTGCTTTAAATGCTTCCAAGAAAAAACACTGAATAGACGTTCCTGCAAAGTTTATATTTATTACTGAAAACCCAAAGGTCAATTTTAATGTTTAAATCTGTTTTTATAACACAGTAGGCACTCTTCAAACGCATGAAATATGTTAATCAAAGATGAAAATCCAGTATGGTCATTCAGGGAACAGGAGCACAGCCATAAAATTCTGATTTGACCAGGGATCACATGTGGCCACAGTCTTCAACTGTGACCTGTCTGATAGTAATTTTGGCCTCAAGGAAGCCATAGAATGCTCCATTTTAACTTAGAATTGTGAAAAACTCACCCTATCTCCCTCACTTGGTGGCTCCGCTGAATTGCAGTGCTCCCTCTTGCAGTTTTTTTTTAGAAAAACCCATGGTCATTTATAGCAAAATTATTCAAATTTTGGTTACTCTATACTTATACTTTCAAATTATTACATGTACAACTATTCTAACTCAATTTATTTTTTAAGGGCGAGTCTGGCATTTTCGATGTCATCAAATGTTGGTACACCCTGTGGTAGATCAAGCAGTGACAATTCCTCTTTCAAAATTCTCTCGGCTTCCTCTGTAAGATATAAGATTAAATTTGTCTCAAAGCCATTTATGAAATATTTCAGGCTCACTGTTTTAATACTTGTGTTACAAAGAAATAGAATAGCCTCCAGAGGGCAGTATACATGTTGCCCAGACATTTGTACTTGTTCTAGGGTTTTGATGCTCATCCATAGAGACATACTGGTGAACTCATGACCTGACACTGTGCCTTGGTGAATAATTGTCACGGAAGAGAAATCTTCATAATTGCTCACCAGAGAATGGAGAATGCTTTGAAAAGGTGGAAAGTTTTTTTTTTAGTGGCAATAAACAACTGGAGATGACGTTCAGCAAACAGTGTCATCTTTTGTTTACTGATCGACTATGATCAGGGGACATCTTCGTGTCCTATAAACCATGATAGATCATTTTTAATTAACCAATCACCAACAAAAAGGTGACAAATAGTCATTCCTATGGGTGGCCATCACTGCGCAATAACCTAAGAATGAGTCTGACATTGATGAAAAACAGACTAATTCTCTCGACTTCCATTCATCGCTACCTTGTAGTTATAATGAAATTAGTATTTATATATTGTCCAATAGAAATATTTGTCACATGGGACTCACATCAAACATGAAGACAGCGTACATACCTTTCATTCTTTCTATTTTGGTTCCATGTGCTAAGTCATACTGATAACCCAAAATGAATGAGAGTGGTATAATTGGTACAAAGACACCAGGCTTGCGTGTTTTAACAGTGCTAAAATAAAACAAAATATTATATACCGGGTATTTATATGTGTATTGACAGCAGATTGAAGTGCCACACTTGCAAAATATTGAAAAATATCTTATTACATTGTATTAGTGTTTTAAAAAATATTACAAAACACTAGAATCATCTTAAAAGTACAATGATAAGTAAATATTCATGTTTCCGGACCTTGCACATCTCGGTTAAAATATTCATGTTTCTGGACCTTGCACATCTCTGTTAAAATATTCATGTTTCACATATCAGTTGAAAACATGCACCACAGCTTTTTTGTAGTTTGTGAAAAAAAATTAAAGAAGAAATATGTTTTCATGAAAAATTTTAATAAAAGCACACCCAAGGATATCAATTTAAAAAAACAAATTGACCAGAAACTGTTTTTTCTTCCTATGATAATTTTTTTTTTTCAATCACTTGTAATTAATCACCATCTCAAAGATCATTGCAAACTTGCACTCCGAGTTCATTTTGAATTTGCACAAACATTCAGTGCAATGACAATACTTTGTTTGTTTTTACTGAAATCGCATGTGTCTGTGTGAATGAAAGAGGTGAATCCAGGGGCGCAGCCCCTCATGTCATGGCCATGTGCTCCTTACCCTCTGGCACCCATAAAATTCTGATTGACCAAGGACCACATGTGGCCACAGTCTTCAACTGTGATCTGTCTGATAGTAATTTTGCCCCAACGAAACCATAGAATGCTCCATTTTAACTCTGAATTATGAAAAAACTCCACACCTGGTAGGGAGAACCCTATCTCCCCCACTTGGTGGCGCCACTGAATTGCAGTGTTCCCTCTCGCAGTTTTTTTCTAGAAAAAAACCTGGATCAAGAAACGAAAGTTTTCAACTAAATCTCGTCTGAATGTTTGAAATCATTTTAATATTAATTAGTATAGTAGAATAGTGTTTTTATTGTTGCAAATATTGTGAATTCACAAACAAATTACTGCAGGCCACAAATACAATTACAAATATGATTATGTTTAGAAATAGGATTGCAAATATAGTTACGATCACAAATGTGTCCGTATCTTCATTTTTTTCTCAGGCAATTCAATCATATCTTCAAATTAAATTTCATTATTTGTTTGTTTGTTTGTACAGTTCACTTTTTGCAGTCAACAAAACTCACCCTATCAAAGTCAAAACTGCAGCAACTCCATAAAACGAGCTATACCACATAAACATATCACGTGCCCTCGCCATCTGCATCGCCATCATGCGTTCTCTCATCACATTCTGCATCATAATTTGCCTCTCCATCTAAAAAAGTTCAATGAAATTTTTTTTAAAGAATGAGAAAAAAAATATTATAAATTACCGGTACCTGTTTTAAGTGACTCTTGACATCTGAAAATATTTTATTTTGTCCAAAGAAATAGACAAGAACGCAAAAACAAGATTGGCTACAAGTCGGTCATATTTCATCACAAAAGCGTCACCTGCGCATGCGTCAGATGGCCATAGCGTGTCATTGTTTACAAACAAGTGTCTACCCGTGAGCCTTTGCGTTATTATCATCGGTTGGGACTCAATTTCAGCGCATGCGCAGATGACGACCCTCTCGCTTTAAAATAGTATGATCTATACGGTTATATTGCTCAGTATTATTTTGGCTTACAGCTGTATTAAAATTAAGACATGGTAAATGCGTGAAGTTTATCATTGAATACGTTTTCTTCACAAATCACTGTAGTGATTTTAAAACCTTGTGAATCTCCCTTTTGAATATAAAATCTGCTAAAATTAAACCGAGTGCTGTGGTAACTTGTCTGCTCATCAGCCATATTATTAGTAGAAATTGGGAAAACCTGGAACAAGATTCATTGGCTTGCTCAAGATCGTGAAGGCTGGAGGAGTTATATTGGCACCTTATGCTCCAGTGGTAGTGAAAAAGATTAAAGGACGGCAGTCGTCGTGCCACGCATATGCAACATTTGTATTAATAAACATTGATTTTCCCACAATCCAATGCGTTCTTCTAATGGAAATCACAAGTATGAGGTTTGATCTGGGCACGTCTTGCACTAATTACCACCGGTGACTCCTTCGATACCTTCCAAATACCTAAAAAAATACCTTATTAAAGCTTGCTAACGTCCCAGTTTGTACTCGTTGATCTGCGCAACAGCCAAAGTCGCCATCTTTGTTTATATGAGACCCATATATCTCGCGCATGCGTGGCGCGACGACTACCGCCCTTTAAGCTAAGTGGATTTGCCAAGGAAAGCAGTGAGCAAAACTCTACATACCTGCATTCTCTGTGTTCGCAACATAAACTCTTGATTCTTTTCCAGCTGTTCATTCATTGCTTTTGACATAGGATTCCCCATATTGTATTAGTATCATCAATCAAACAAAAACACCTACAGAGAATATAAATACAAGAATTTATAACCTCATTTGAAAGCAATATATATATATATGCATTCTGTAAAATGGCAACACCTATTTCGGGGGAGACAGTGATTGAAAAAATGTCTCAAATAACAGCATTCTATACTGAAAAGAGTCCAGACAAACAGTGCCAATTCTATATTCCAATTTGCCAAAGTCCTATCTTGAAATCCTATCTATTTTGACCACTATCACACACATTATTTTTACTTTTTGCGGATGATTTGGTTCTTTTTTTTTCCACAACCACTGATTACAAACAAGCCTAGATGCTTTGAATACCGTACTCACTGTCATAAAAGGGAACAAATTAAAAACATGAAATAAAAGCTGTCATTTTTCAGTTGCAGGGTTGCCGTCTTAAGGACACTTCCTTTTCCTGGGTAGACAGAAACACAAAATCATATACACATATAGCAGTTGATTTTGTCAATGGTAAAACAAAATTCAGAAAGAATTTTTCTGAAAGCGAAAAACACATTTGGAAGAGTAAAATTAAATGATGTTTAGATATTAATAATCTTAGTTTAACAAATAAATTGTTTAAAAGCACAGTACTTCCTGTGCTTCTCTATACCACAGATGTGTGAGTGACATGTTTGTTTAGTTACAACATTAAATAAATATTCAGTGACAAATTTTAATCAATTTTTCAGATTGAGGAGTTATAATTATGGTTTTCCATAATTTACTGAAATTCTATTATAAAGTCCAAAAAAGGAATGTGATCCTTCGCATATGAGGGCGCTCACGAATTACAACTGGTTTGTTTTTGTCAACGTTAATTTAGAAATTCTAGTATTTTTATTAAATTCTATTTCTATCTTCATAAAAAATGATTTAAGGACTGTGATTAAATATTTCGATGTGATTTCAAACCATAAACTTAGAATTAACAAAATTTAGAATTTCTAGTCATAATCTGCCAACTGAAATATTAGGGTACATCAATATTTGGCTGAGCTTTACGTATTATTTTACTGTTAACAATTTTCAAATGGAATATTGTTGTCACTATTATGCATTTTTTTGTTGAAGCTGTAGCTCTTTTTTGATCATGGAAGGTATTTATGTCTGGCCAGTGTTAAATAAAGTTCGATTCCTTTCTACGACTACCCCCACCCCATCTGTGGCCTGCATGTCCATTTGGAGTCCCTCCCCCTAGACTTGCTGCAGTTTAGCAGCTCTTATTGGCTGCTTAGGCGATTCTGACATTACGTCTCTGGTCGCCCCGCAACGTATACCACGACCAAGAGAGCTGCATAAACTGAAGCAACCTATAGACAGGACTGTAGTCCTGAACCCACAGCGTTGTAAAAATAACCAGGATTCAAGTTCATAGCGCATCCCTACAAAAACTATTTAGTATCGTAGCATATTTGAACTGGACACCAAGAATCACATTGATTACTTTTCATACGATATAATGCTATACAGTTCAGTGTGGACACGAAATGCGACCACCACTGAAAACGAACCTGTAATTTCGTAAGCTGCTAACGTCCATAAACACCTTTGACCTCGACCTGTGTTCAACCTTTCGCTATTTGTAATTGCGCCCTCTACAGTAACATAAACATTTCATTTAGAAAAAGGACATTTCCTATCAGCAATGAATATAATGGTAACAAAACTAAAAATGAATATATGTACAAGTAACATCAAAAGAAAAATTATGCAATTTCATTTTGTGTTAAGAATCTGTTTACAGAACTTCCAATGCTTCCCTCATCTCTATTTTCAAGTAGATACACAGGTTTCTGAAATGAATTGGTGATTTTAGCAGGAAATCTCTGTCAGGATTTTTTGTGCCTGAAAGGCAAAGGAGTAAAAGATAAAATATCTTTTTCTTGTAGATTCTCTTTAATATATTTTTCACAGATAGAATCCATAATAAATTTGATCGGTTTTGTTCATGAAATGCCTGAGACGTAAATAGGCAGTGTTGTACGAAGATAGCAAACTCAAGATGACAAAACAAAAAACAAAGGCATGTCAATCTTACGGCGTTGGTTGCGTACCTCTCTGTCCGCCGACAAATACTAGTCACCAGTGTCCATGCATCTGCATCATAGATGGGCGAAGGTTCTTTTGTAGATTATATGCCGTTTCTCATGTGCATCAATGGAATTACCACGTGTTTTAAGTATGCAAATATTTCACCTTCCGTGGACGACTCTATATTATTTAATCATATTATTAGTAAGACTTACCCCATCCAAACTGGCCTTAATCATTGTGTTCGATGGGGCCAGTGATGGAAAATGGTAGATACAAAGACAATTTTATTTTTTATTCATTTAGAAACACTTTAATGGTTACAAAAACAAAAAAAAGAAATGTATAAAAAATAAAAACACTTAAAATGAAAAGAACACGCAAAAGAAGAAGGAACTCAACGAATTAGCTTCGTTTATGACTTAATGACGAGAGGGGAAACTCTTTAATGAAATGTACCACTGTTGGACCAGTGGTTTGCTGTCAAAATGTTTTATCAAAGTTTTAGCCAATGAGAACAGTTCTTTGCGATGAGTTTTGACATTCCATCTCAGTTGCACGTGTTGCAAATCTGATTTGCAATGCATACACAGCTGTATTAATTTTCTACAGAATTTCCTACATACTCGTATACATGATAATTGAAGTAACATGTTGGTCGCCAAGTGCTTAACATAAAAAATTAAAACACTCGTGTTGCCGAGCCCAAGGCAGTGAGACATAATCAAATGAGAAAGTAAGTCGTCAAGTGAATCATGGAAAGTAAAAAAAATAAATTTCCAAGCATTTTACAGTATTGATAGTTAATACAGTCCAACCCTTCGAGGCACGAAACATGCATGTGGGACATTTGTCCGTAGTCTGCAAATACCAATATTCCACTTAAATCGGAATTTCCCTCAGAGGGCCAAAAAGTATTTAAATTTAGAGCAGTCTATCATTCTTTTATGAGCTGGTAATTTACATGCGACTAAATTATCCCGAGATTATTACATGCATATATTACGTAATCTATTCAATATAGAGGAAATCATATATAATCGTATTTAATATTGATAATCCATACTGTACACTAAATCTGATTATGATTAACATAAACTAAAATAGTTACTTTTGCAGGACACGCAACAGTATTCGTTAGATGAAATATCACATGTGCTTGGTTTGTTTACTAATACGCATAGACGGCAGTTAATGTATGTACAAGAAACACCCAGTGCGCATGCGTATTAGACAATTTCATTGTTTCAACGACGAATATTCAGATGTGTACTACAAGAACGGCGTTCGCTCCATAAAGGCCAATATATCCAATAATCATAAAAACATTACAAAAATAATACCTGTTCTCGTCTTTATTGAAACTTTAATGTGGGGGTACATACATTGGTGCATCAGTATATAATAGTCTGAATTAATGTTCTCTCAACCACGTTCTCTTCTTTCCCCGGCGTCTCTACCCTTTCAGCCTCTGTCGGATAGTCCACGAGCTACGCCTTGTTTCCTAACTCACACTCCTACACACACACACACATAAAGACTGATTACAGTTTAATGAACTACAAACAGATACCAGATAAACAATCCAAGAAACGTGCGAAACACGGCCAATAAAGCCTTGATCTGAGTGTGTAGTTTTTTCGTCTATTCTACAATCCACTCGGGACACCAGCGTGACTCAATGATTACATGTATGTATCCGCTCAGGTGATATAGTAACATTCTCTTTCTGTATTCAGTCCCAGTAAGATTATGTCGTGTATTTATCTCCCGGATACAACCATCCCGCGTGCAAAATGTTCACTTTCATCGTATATGATCACGTGATAGACATATTCTTCCCAGTAGGTTTATGTACTCAACGGTATAGCACATTCCCATGGGTTATTGATATGATAGATGAAAATTTTAGACCAGGAAACAAATATGCTATCATATATTCTTATTCGTTATATTCTGGCAATTTTAATGGATTAAATGTTCACTTCGGGGCATTACAAGGGAGGGCAGGTGGCAGCAACTCCAAATCTATATCGACAGTCCTGGAATAAAGACGGGAGTATTGGTGAGATATAACACCGTCGTGAGAGGGCGCGGATAGCTCGTAAAATACATACCAGTTTAACGTAGTAACATGATTTGCAATTCTGACATTTCCTAAATATATTTATTTTGCTTTTTAAACAACATATACGTCATCTGAAAGCTTAGATATAGGCATATGATAATACCTGACAGCCAATTCCGTAGGCCAAACTGAAGAAATCGAAAGGTGTTTTTTACGATTTGCGAGGTTTCCGACTCCACGTTCTTTCACCGAGTTGCTTTCCGTGACTATGTACAAGAAACCTGCGTCTGGATTTCTTTTCAATCTATACTTCAGTTTTGTAACTCTTAGCTTGTCAAAATTGTTTGTTTATAGTTAGAAAGAAAAAGGATAGTTAAAGAAATAGACCAAGTCTACGTTTACGAACGTCCTGTGCAATTTCACAGGTCATTCAGATGAAAGTCCTAACAAAACTGTACGAATAGTCGAAAACGATAATATAATTTACCTTTTGTACGTGTCCAGTTCCTTCACATCAGTCTATCCACTGTTCTGCTTCTACAATCCAGTTCAATTCTATCACGTAATCCATAGTCCGGCGAATCGGAGCCTACTTTTGTGAGTTTAGAAGAGAACAAAATACCGAACGGCAAGTCTACGTGACAGCGACTTCAGTATGTGGACGAGCGAATACTCCATTTGTACAGCGCCACCACAGTGTAAAAATTACAACTTAAAAGTTATAATTTGCTTGCTTTTCATTAAAAACTTCGTTTTGTTGACTTGTTCAAATTCCGAGAATAAAAAAAGATAATATGTGGTAGCCAAACCTCAATTCCCTGCAACCCACACCCCCCGTGACTAGACATTTATATAACGCGAATGAGCTATTCAAATCGCTGACATAGATTTGATCTGTAGTTGGTCAATAATA